TCTGCTGTCAATTTTTGTGGTTTCTTTCTCATTTTCGTTATATACGGGCACAGATTTACTTATTTTTGGATTTTGTTTTCTTTGGCTTGGGTATACCTGTAATTTTGATGTTTTCTTTTTGCGTGAGTTGTACTGTGGGAGGAGGAACCTCAAGGGGTGTGTTTAATTGTATTTTTGGTCTTTTAAGACGGGGCTCCTCCCTCCTTTAAATTTTCTACCTTTTTCGTTATATTAACACGTATGGAGCCACTGTTGCTCTTTTCCCAATATATATATATATATATATATATATGAAATATTCCTGATGGCGGCGAGCTCTGTTAGGGTTTTGCCCGATGGCGAAACCCAGCTTTAACCTCCGGCTTTCACTCCATCGTCTTCGTGCTTTCGTGGCTACTGTCTTTTCCGGGTTATGGCTGTGTGATTAGAGTTGTCAAAACAACTTTTTGTTCGTGAACGACTTGTGTTCGGTTCGCTAAGCAAACGAGCCAAACACGAACACACTTTTTTAGCTCGAAATATAAACAAGCAGAACACGAGCTGAGGGCTTCCTCTTGTTCGGCTCGTTTACACCCTAATTCTTGTCCTTCTGTTCGTGCCGCGTTCACTTAGATTTATCGCGAAAAGAGCCTTGGACTTGTCATACTTGGTGCTTCTACTTCGTCTGTCGAAGTATCCACCTTAGTCTCTAATAGGGCTAAATCTCGAGCCGGTAACCCCACTTGTGATTACTGTCACAAACCCAACCACACTCGTGATAAATGTTGGAAGCTCCACGGGAAATCTGCATCCAAACCATCGACCAAATCTTCCACTGCTAGGGATCTAGTTGCAGCTTCTAAATCTGACACATTGCGGCCGGCTTCTACCCAGAACAATCTAGAATCATGCATTTCTCTTAAAGTCAAATGGAACACTTAATCAAGCTGCTAGGATCCAACCAACTCTCTTCTATTCTATCTCTCATGTTTGTCAAGGTACCAATCCTATGATACTCACTTTTTTTGCCCCTTCTAGTGCATGAATCATTGATTCAAGTCTCATGAACCACATGACTGAAAGCTCTTAAGCCTTCTCAACATACTATTCTTGCTAAAAAAGTTACAGTTAAAATTGCTGATGGGTCCCAAAAGTTACATTTATGGTAAATGGTTTTTTGTTTTAGCAACAGGTCTAACTCTAAAATCTGTGTTAAATGTACATCTGTTGAAGTGTAACATTTTATTTGTCTGTAGGCTAGCATATGACATTGATTGCATTGTCAATTTTTTCTCTGATGCTCGTTTCTTTCAGGTTCGTCGTTCAGGGATGATGATTGGAACTGCTAAGCGGGTTGACAGGTTTATCTTCTTTCAAGAGCAAAGCATGGAGAACGAGGGCACCCCACTCAGTAGTTGTAGTTTATCTCAGTCCACTGAATGTCCTACTATTATATTGTCATTTCGGTCATCTTAATTTCCAGTATCTAAAACAATTATATATGTTGATGTTTGTTAATAAAAGTCTTCTTGTTAGTTAAATATCATCGTGTTCCTTATCCGCTCCACAATTACATACTTTCCGTTTCTTTTTCTCTTATTCACATTGACTTATGGAGACCGTCTCGCACTCCTTGTTACACCAATAAACAGTGATTCCTTACTTTGATAGATGATCATACTCGGATGACATGAGTTTATATTTTAAAAGATAATTTCAAAGTTACCGTCATTTTCAAAATCTTCCACCTCTTATTCAAGTTCTTTGGACTGATAATTGTCATGAATTTTTTTACTCTATATTGGGAGAATTCTTCATAAGGACATTCTTCATTATAGCTCATGTAGCGACACTCTTTAAAAAAATGGGTTAGCCGAGAGAAAAAACCGGCATTTCCTCGATGTTACTCGCTTCATCATGTTCAACTTCAATGTCCCAAAATATTTCTAGAATGATTCCATTCTTACCGTCACTTTTCTCATCAATAGATTTTCTTTAAAAATTCACAATTTTCTTACTCCTTTAGCCGTCTTGAGATCATGTTTTCCTAACAACCATGTCTTCTCCTCTTTAGGTCTCAAATTTTTTGAGTGTACAACCTTTGTTCGGAATACAACCCCAACTCGGAGTAAACTTTATCTCAGGTCCATAAAATGTGTTTTCCTCATATACTCTTTCATTCAAAAGGGGTATCAGTGCTTGACCCAAGCACAAATAAGGTTTATGTGAGTGCTGATATCCTCTTTTTTGAAGGTATTATCTACATTCCTAAATTGGTTTCAGTGAGAGAGAGATCTAGAGTTCTTGAACACTGTATTTTTTCCTACTTTGACCCCTCTATTTCTTTGGTTCCGCCCATTTCTCATACCGCCAGGGTGCCCTCTGCTCGTTTGGTTCCACCAGCACATCCTCCCACTCTCTAAATCCCTTCCGGACGACATCCCCATCATTGCTCCAACTTCAAATGAGGAACTCCGTTCCTCTAGTAAGGTACACAATCAGACAAACTCTCTCTATCCCATGACAAACTGTCTCTTTTCGCAGATTATCACCAATCTACAGAGCATTTGCTACGACACTCCAATCATCAACTTTCATCTACTATTAAGGCTGCATTAGCAAACCCAGCCTGGAAAGCTGCCATCATGGAGGAAATGAATACCCTTCGGTGGAGCCATACTGACATAGCTGATCTTCCTCGAGGCAAGAAAGCAGTGGGATGCCGATGAATTTTTAGCATAAAGTTGAAATCTGATGGATCATTTGAACGCAACAAGCCAAGGTTGGATGCAAAAGGGTACTCATAGACCTACAGAGTTGACTATGAGGAGACATTTGCTCCAGTTGCTAAATTAAACATCATTCGATTCCTCTTATCCCTTGTAATGAATCTGGATTAGCCCTTATTCCAGCTTGATGTCAAGAATGTGTTCTTGAATGACAATCTTACAGATAAGGTATATATGACTCTTTCTAGAGGTTTTGACTCCATTGCCTCCCAGGGGTAAGTATGTAGATTTTGAAAATCTCTTTATGGATTAAAGCAATCACCACAGGCATGTTTCATAATATTCACAAAGATGGTGATAGACCATGGATTTACTTAGGCTCAATCAGACCATATTCTCTTTTTCCAGCATTCTTCCAGCGGCCAGGTAGCCATCCATATTGTCTATGTTGACGATATTGTTCTCACAGGTAATGATCTACCAGCATTGGAGTTCCTGAGAGACATTTTTCCCTTTTTGAAATGAAGAACTTTGGATCTCTCCGGTACTTTTTAAGTGTGAAAGTTGCTCGGTCATCTCAGGGTATTTGTCTGTCTCGGCGAAAATATGCGATTGACCTTTTGACAGAAAATAATTTTCTCTTGTGCAAACCAGTGACTGTCCCGATGGAACCCATTGAAAAACTTCTTGGCATACCCAATGCAGTTTTTTTAAATAACACTCACTACCAGCGCCTTGTCGGAAAACTCATCTACCTTGCCCATACACGCTCCGACATATGCCACACAGTTGGGAGAATCAATCAATCTATGTATGATCCATATGAGCACCTCCTCAAGTTGTCTGTTGGATTCTCCACTATTTAAAAGGCACACCGGGCTCAGGTTTATTTTTTTCCCGCCACAGCTCTCGTTCTATTGCTGTTTACACATACGCGGACTAGGTAAGGTCCGTCTATGATCCACGATCTACCTCGGGGTCTGCTCATTTATAAGGGGAAATCTAGCATGAAAAAACAAGAAATAGTCTGTAGTTGCTTGTAGCAATGCAGAAGTTAAATTTCAATATATGTCCCTGAGAATTTGTGAAGCTTGCTGGCTACACAGCATATTTTACGAATTTTGTATGACAGTCTCCGCTCCCCTACAGTTATTCTGTGATAATAAGACTGACATTAGCATTGCTCACAACCCAGCTCAACATGATCACACCAAGCATGTTAAGTAAGATTGACAGTCATTTCATTAAGGAAAAAAAAACTTGAGTCCGGGAAAATTTGTGTTCCGTTTGTGTCATCTAGTGGCCAGCTGGTCGATATTCTCACGAAGAACCTTTCTCAGCCACTGTTCGATTATTTCAAATCCAAGTTGAACATAACTGACATCTATGTATCGACTTGAGGGAGAGTATTAGAATATTAGATTTGCTGAATTTTGTATTAATTGCTTTGATTTACTTTTATTTACTTGCCTTTTTTGTCTTTTTTCTGTTTTTATTTGTTTTCTTAATAGGAGATACTGTAAGGGATATTTATATCTCTCTTTGTATCAATAAGATTCACCCTGATTTTATTCTAACAAACAACATCAAAACTTGATTCATTATTTAACATCCTTGCAAGAATAATTCATATTAGTCATTTCTATGGAAAAGAATCTTAAAACTGATTTTTTTTCAAATTCCCTCCTTAAATATTGAAGCATTGAACGTTTCAGAATTCATCCTTCTATGTCTTCTACGTCATCAGAATTCATTCTTTTATTTATTTTTCAATCATACATCTAGTTATCAAATCAAGATCATTAACTTGATCTTCAAAATAAAAAAATAGCATGATGCCTAGTTTTATGATACTTCAAGATATTAATCATTCATCAATTTACCCAAGTAACACCCAAATGATGTCTTAAGTAAATGATTAATCAATTTAATGATGTAGGAAAGCCCAAATCAGAGGACTTTTTCTTAGCATTTATAAAAACATAATTTGAACCATTGTAGCAACGTATTTATG